TCCAGATGCGTGGGGGCTGCCCTTTGCATCGTAGCCATCTGCCGCGGCGAGGAAGAGTCAGCAATGTACAATATTCCCCTTTTGGGGACTAGGTAGGGCTAGCAGAATATGTGTCTATAAAGTTTAAAGTTAAAAATAATAATAATAAAGGAGGGCATTTGGGGAAAACAAGTGGGTTGATTGCCTGAAATAACAGGATTGCCTGGAGGTTTGGGAACTGGTGAGGTGAGGTGGAGGGAAAGGATGCATCCGCAAGGAATTAGAATCCGTGCTGTGCGCGCGCGGGAGACATCTCAAGAATGTATAAGCAGGGAAAGATGTGCAGAAGAAAAGTGCATTTTCCTTCGCAAGTCCAAGTGGACTATGCATCGGCTTCCTCTGTAACAGTCCTCAGTGCATTCCTTTTGAAGTCACAAGGTAGTGGAGTAAAATAATAGGAATTTTAAATTTGTTGCTTGTCAGTTCTGATTAGTGGTCAAAATATTTATTGCATTGCAGAAAATCCATTTAATCCATTCAAGTGCAGCAGTCTTCACTTATATTTCATTTTCTCTTCTGCACTGATTGTACAATCCTGAATGTATACACCAGTCTTTTGTGATACAAGATGTCACTAGATTAATGCAGTCAAGTTATTTTAAAAAATTGATCTAGCTTCATTTTTATTTGTTTCGTAGGAATAAAGGCTAAATCTGGCCAGAGCGAGTTTGGTTGCTTTGTACATCGAAATATAGAGGTTCACGTTGTACAGTAAGTACTGATAGGAAAAGATCAGTTTCAAACAAATCCTGATGCCTGGATCAGAAAATTCAGATGGCAGCTCCTGTTGTGATGATATATTTAATTTAATAGTAATTAATAAATAAGTAGTGAGTTGTTTGTCCTGATGGTTGACCTGAGTCAACAGATTTTGTTTATCTCAATCTGCCTAATGACAGGTTCAGACTTCTCAGCAAGAGGATCAGTAGATGTTGCAAATCGATGGATAAATTTGGAAGCTTTCATAGGTGTTGGATGACCAGAGTTCTGAATCAGTGACATTAAACTAATTCCAGTAATTCTATCTAGAATGTAATAGCTTGGAATAAATTGTATATTTTAATGGTTTAGTAGTTTTTATATCATTCTCATAATTTTGACTCGGAAGCTTCAGTCCATTTATGACTGTCTTATGGCATTTGAAAGAATGATCAATTTATTGTAATTTCTTCGTTGTGAACTGCTCAATCATTGAGAATTGGGCATCATACAAGTTTATGTGATGATAGAGGAATGATAAATAATAAACAAGGAAGTGAAATGTAGAAATTATTAATAGTGGTCATTCACAAAAGTGTTTTTAGGTGTGACACAGATGTTCTCACATTGACGGCTGTTTATTTCACAGTTATTCATTTATTATTCTCGCCCTACCAGCCATGTCCATGCATGTTCCTTGTTCAGCCTATTCTATATATCCATCATGGAAATTGTATAAAACTGTATATCATAAAAATAACAGCTAGGCTTCTCAAATTGTTTGAATTTAAAGTACATAAATTGAGGCTAAAATTAGAAGATTTTTCTGAGGTTCCTGCATGAATTTCAAGCAAGTTCTGATATCTGGCCTTAGTGCTCTGCTAGACAGTTAATGTTGCCTGCCAGTTATAATATTGTTGAAGGTTTATAAACCTTTTTTCAATCAGTGAGTTGTAATTCATAATTTAGTTAATAAAAGATTTTGTGGGTTTGTGAGATTCCAAAAGGCAGAAGTAGTAATGCATCCTAAAATACAGTGTGGAATAGCTATTAGCAATAGAAATACTGCAGTTTTCAGTTCTCGATCTTGGTTTTCCTCTCTTTTCAAAAACCAATCTCCCTACAGCTATTGATCAAGTCTGAAAACTTATGATGGGTGGCGCAAATCTGCAAAAGATTTTTCAGGATAACGTAAGGAGGAATTGCTATATATACAAATAATTACACTGAATATACCTAATTATTTTAAATGTACATGATCAAAAATAACATTTAAAATAAAAAGGGTTTTTTGTTTTGGTCTTCTCTTCCTTGCTCTGTCAATAATTTGGGGTGATTTTGTTTTTTGTTTTTGTTTTAGCCTTAGGGGTGGTAGTATACTAAGCTAAGGAAAACTCTCAACCCCCCCCCCCCCCAAACGACCACTTTTGTGGTATACTTAAGAGTAGCTGATTTTCTGCTAATAATGGATAGTGGTGAGTATAGCTGGAGGAACACTATCATTGCTCGTTTAGGAATATTAAATGTACCCTGTCTCATTCCTTGCACCAATTTAAAAAGAAGTCATGTTACTCAAACTATGAATCTTAGTATTTCCCACAGGGATTTTATTAATTTAAAGCATTGCTGTGTTGCTCATCAGCCAAAAGAAAAAAAAATCCCGGTGAGCTAATTGGTAGGGAAGACTTCACTGAGAAAAGAGTAGGAACATTGGGGGGAAATGGACAATGTGTAATTTATTTATTAAACATGCTGTCCTTTTCACTCTGCAAAGTGACTCTGGGTGACTTACAATTTAGATCATATATTTAATGCTTAATTTTAAGGAACCTAAAACTTAGTGTAACCACAAATGTATTCTAAAAGACAAATTAAATAAACAGCAGTTAAAAGTAGGATGCCCTTGAAAGAAAAACTGCTGGAAAAGGGGTTTTTAAAGATGGAGATATTAAAAGGAAAAGGTTTTTTTTAAAGATGGAGATATTAAAAGGAAATTGGAAACAATTCTACCGAGATGAAAAAATAACAGGAGAAGAAGCCAATGTAGTTACACGAAAAGCTTAGTGAAAACATAAAGCTGTAAGAACAAATATAGGAAACGGAAAGAGGTTTAGGTCACATAGAATCATACAGACTGTAGAATTGTGAAGTTGGTATCAAGACAATAATGTGAAACTGAGTTAGGGAAGGAGACATAGAAAGGGCTTATATTGAAATATTCACATTAAAAGAGAAAAAAAAATCATATATTGCCAATATACTGATACAACTGATTGCAATTGCACAGTGAATATAACAAAATAGTAGAAGTAGGGACAAAAAGGCACTTATTTTGGTTTAGTTTTTTTCTAACAAAAAGTATGTCTTCATCAGGAAATCTGAAGAGCTGAATGAAAAGGCAGATTTGATGCCTTGAAAAGGATAACAACATGGCTTGGGAATACCCTTTTGCTCTAAATGAAATGAATCTGCAATACAAGGGTATATTAGCTGCTGATATGAATAAAAACAAACAGAGAAATTCCAAGTTTATTTGATTTGGAAGGTACCTGGAGGGGTAAATAAATTGTACTTGTGGAAAAGATGTTGTTTGACTAAGAGTTGATTGTGAACTGAATATGAACCAGCAGAATGATAGGTCTATAAAAAAAAGGCAGATGTAATTTTTGCACTATATTCTGTTTTGATTAAATATCTGTTTCAAATATTGCCTCTTGTTTTGGGTAACCATGGTTTAAGAAGGATTTAGAGCAGGCAGCCAGGGATGATCAGGAGACTAGAAACCAAGACTTACGAAGAAATATGGAATGTTTACTATGTTGGTATCAATATTTAACCTTGAGAAAAGATGATCCTGTATGTTTCAACGTGCATGCTTCAGAAACATCAGGGGAAAAAGAAGGTTGAGATCAGATTTTTTTTATGGAATAGTGTATTTAAGCTACAGGAAAGCAGAATGTAACTGAACATTAGATGCAATTTTCCAACAGTGGAGAGATCACTTTCATTGGATGAGTTCAAAACAACCATCTACTTGGAATGCCAGCGCTGAACAGGAGGCTGACGGCAATGTAAATAATTCCTTCCAACTCTGACTTTAGAGAGACTGACTCAACTTTGTTGTGTCTGGGTAAGAAACACCTTCAGCCAAATGCTATCTAGATCAGTCATTGGTCCTGTTGTGGTTGAATGTTATCTGAGCTTGAACCTCAGTTTTTGGAGAATAGGTCAGAAGGAAGGGCTGAGGATGAAAGCAGTGAACTGGTCAATGGAAATGGGAGAGAAGCTATTTCTTCGAGAATATGAACGAAATGTTTTTGTTATTCTGAGTCTTGTTTACACATGTATGCCCTACAGTAACCCTTCCTTTCCTGGCCTTTCATCTTGTTGTACTCAATCTATACTTGTACTGTACAGGTACTTCCTGCATTAGATAAATGGTAGGGTTTTTTGCTGTCCATTTGTGCTTCAGAGATGGAAGGCATGTCAACAAAATCCTGCTATTTCCTATCCTCCATGGCCCCAGTGGATTTACAGATAGTCTAAACTAAGTTGCTGTAATCATATGCAAGGTAGAAATAATAGAATGGAGCCAAAAGTTTTTTGAATCCTGAACATTTAAATTTCTTGCTTGTAGTTGGAAAGGAGTATTGTATTTTGTTGTGAAGCAAGTTTATTATGAAGGAAGAGGGTTATATTCCAAAACATGGAAATGATTACCAAATCTAAATCTGATCTCATTTAATTTACAAAATAAGTATAGCTGGAATGAGCAATTACAAAATTTTGCTTCAGAATAGATTCTGATACATCAGACTTCTCCATCACTGCAGGTCAGGGAAAATATGCGTCTGTCATTCAGAGACGTAGCTGTTGCATTTATATATCTGCGAATGTTAGTTCTGGTTAGGAGTGCTCAAACAGCAAAGCACAGAACAGGAAGTCAGATCAATCAATCAGCACATAAGACACGCACCATCTCACTATGCAGTTGGTATTTGGGAGGTGTGTGCACCAGGCCATCTGCAGCCTTCTGTAACCTATGCTTATCCATTGAGTTGATGGATAAATGTGTTCCTTTCTTGCGTTACTCTGTTCCTTCTTTCTATATCACTACAGGCAGTCCTCAACTTACCACCACAATTGAGCCCAAAATTTATGTTGTTAAATGAGAAATTTGTTAAGTGAGTTTTGCCCCATTTTACAACTTTTCTTGCTACATTTGTTAAATGAATCACTCACCTTGTTAAATTAATAACATGGTGTTTAAGCGAATCTGGCTTCCCCATTGACTTTGCTTGTCAGAAGATTGCAAAAGGCGATCATGTGACCCTTAAAGACACTGCAACCATCATAAATATGAACCAGTTCTCAAGCATCTAAATGTAAATCACGTGACCATTGGGATGCTGCAACTGTCATAAGTGTGAAAAATGGTCATAAGTCACTTTTTTCAGTGCCATTGTAACTTTGAACGGTCACTAAACAAACTGTTGTAAGTCGAGGACTACCTGTATTGTAACTAAGGTATTTTCCAAAGCACCTGAAGGCCAGACAAGGAATAATGGATGGAAACTGAGCAAGGAGAGATTTAATCTGGAAATAAGGAGAAATTTTCTGACAGTGGGAACAATCAACCAATGGAACAGCTTGCCCTTGGAAGTTGTGGGAGCTTCATCACTTGAGACTTTCAAGAAGAGATTGGACTGCCATTTGTGAGAAATGGTGTAAGGTCTCCTGCTTGGGTGAGGGGTTGGACTAGATGACCTACAAGGTCCCTTCCATCTGTAATCTGGTGGTATACCTTTGGTAGTGGTACACTGTTGCTGGTAGGATCATGTCTTTTCTTGCTGTATGCCTGGACAGATTTGTCAGTGTGTCTTTCAAATCTTACAGTCTTCAAGCAATACAAAACTTCTGCCAAGTTCTAGGATCCCTCAGGTCGTGAATCTCTATGGTTTTGCTAGTTAGCATTCTTTGCCTAAAATCAGCAAGACCTGGATAATCCAAGA